GAATCCTTTGCGGTTTTACCCCTGAATGACGTCACATTTTTGGTGGGCCGGTCTCTAGTCAAAATGCCCGGGCCGATTTTTTGTCCCAGTCCAGCCCTGGGTCACGCCATAGAAGTCTGATCATGTTCCTTGGTAAATGTGACTGTGCAATAGAGAGTAGTTGTCCTCCAGTTTGTTGAAAAACAAAAGAAAAATGTTCATTTCATCGTGAGGAAGTGAATGGACTTACAAGTTGTGCAATTAGGACAGCTGGTAAATGAAAATTGGTCATACCAAAAACTTCTCAATGAAGTTCTGCTATCACAGAATGCATGCACCATAGTTCAGGTCATGTCCAGTAAAGTCAATGTGCCATAATAACCATTGTATTAACGATAAATTTAATAACGCTGCATAGCAACAGTTACTCAAAAAACACTTTTTATCCATAACAAGAACAGCAAAGAAACTATACAACAGAAAATGCAAATGCTATTTATGCTCTCCTCATAACAATGATAAGAAAAAATAAACTGGGCCAATAAGACATGCTTGTTATTACAGGGATATACATGTTAATGTGATCCCCCCCTGCTTTGTATTTTGCCAGTTCTCTTATCTGGAGATCATACTTGGCAAATAACACTCTCAAGGAAAAGAGCACATACAGCACTATCTTTCTGTTGAACAAAACCCCCGTCTTAAAAGACGATTTGGCGAATACAAGATCATAAAATTATCTTTTTTTCGCTTGCTTCAAGGCCATATTTCACAGGACTGATTAGTTAGCAACATCCCTCTCGCCGGTAGGCTAAGTGATTTTTAGCCAATAACAAGTTGAACTCGGTGGGTGGGGTTGTTAGCTAAGATGCAATGATTAAGAAATGGTGCAACTGATGTGTCTATGCAAGCTAATTTGTGATATGCACTGGTAATAGATATTTAGTTTTTAATGCACCTTCTCTGTGCATGTTGTGCCATCAGTTAACCCTTCGCGTGCCAGCATGAGTGCCCAGGGTTCCCGGCCCCTGGTCTACAACACTTGAAATATAAATAGAAACGAGGTTGAAAAGACTACGAAAAAAATTATTTTAAAATCGGATAAAAGGCATTTCTGTTCAAGAAGTTGTTTTCTTTCTTGGTTAATAGGGTAACTATAACAGCACCACACAGGACAGGACAGGGCACGGTACCTCTCCATCATGGTGGCTGCCTCCTGCTCTCTTTTCCGTCTCTTTCTCTCAGCAATGCCTCGGAAAGCCCTGCCGGGACGTCAAAGCATTAAGTTGTTTTGTTTGGAAATATACGTTTTCGTTTTAGCTTCGCCTGACAGCAACCAAGGATTTTTTTGTCTGAACCCAATCTGACCCAAGGGCTAAAAAACTCTACTATTACGTGCTATATCTGGTGAGCTTAGAAATTAATGCAGCTTTTAAGTTGATGTTTGTTATAAACAAAACTAACTAAAATGCCACACAGTAACAAAAGGAAACTAAAAAGCCCATAGGGTCTAGTTGGGTTCGGGCATAAAGTTTAGTTAGGGTGGTATGGGAAGACACTAAAGGTGTCAAAGGTGAGAGGTTTGAAGTCCAGTAGGGTTAGTGAGAGTTTAGTTAGCTTTGGTGAGTAGTTAAAGTTAGCAGCACAGGGACATCTAATCCACCAAAGGCAGAGGACATTGAGGATAATTGCATGTACACTCACGCACACACACTCACAAACTACAACCACAATGTAGGAAAAGACACTGAGGCAACAAAAGACGACTTTATATTCATTTAAATATGAATGTTAAATTCTTTTTTGTGCAGCTTCAACAGCCATTATGGGATGTATTGGTTTTTTTCTTGGTTGGTGGGGTCGTATTATTTTGTGTAGGTCTCAAAAGGTCAGGCCTAATCAAGACTTTTAGAACTTGTTGCCCTGGCTGTCTTCTGACCAATTTATCTCATCTTTATGAAAAGCCTCTAGGAAAGACTAGCTATTTCCTGATAGCACAGAAACTCATTGTGTTCCCTTACTTGTAGGAGGTTGAAAGAGAACCCAGTTAAACTTCAGAAATGGATTATCAGACCAGGACTGAGATGTGACATCCTCTGTTTCACATTTTGATGTACTGAGAAATATTTCTGCACCACAATTTTTGCAACACATTATTAACCATTCTGCCAAGTGTGTAACAGTATGCCTACACCGAGGTGCCTTTCCCAGTAGGGACAGTAATGGTTCTGACAGGGCGTCAGACATAATGAGAATCATCTGTGACAGCGTATGTCAAAAACAAAGTCCGGTCCTACGGTCTGGTTTTCACCAACGGACAGACAGACAGGCAGGCAGCTGATGAGCCCTGGGATGACAAAACATGAGGCTGAATTCACTGGAGTCTGATTATTATCCAAAAGCTCTCTGCATTGCTATTGCAGAATTTTTTCCCCTCGTGAATTCACTCACGTTTTGTTCCTTCTCACTGCAAAAACAAACAGGTTGGAAGAGATGTTTCCTTCAGCCTGTCCCTCCTTCCACCATCTGCTATCACCAGTATATTTAAAAGCTGACAGCCTACTTCCTCTATTGTGCGATAAAGCAATCCTTTAAATTTTCTGCCAAATTTATCAAGCAGCCAGCAGAGAGAGAAGAAGAAAAACAGATTTTTCGCTGTTTTTGGCAGTAGGCACATGCGGTTTTATAGTTTCAAACAGTGGTTTACATAAGCTTAAGCCTGTGAAGTCTAAGCCATCAAAGGTGAAAACACTAAAAGCAAAAGTGACCTACATATTCTGAGTTAAGGTTTGGGTTATTTGCTGATGATGGTGACTTAGACCTTAGAGAGTTAAATATGAGAAGATAAGTTATAATACTAAAGATCTGAAGATATTAAAGTATTGAAACTTAAGCAGTACTGGGGGCGGCTTTATGTCTGCTGACAGCTAGATTGGTAGTTGCAAATGAGAGTTAGCAAACATTTGAAAAAGTGTATGATCTAGAATTTCATCATGTCTCACATGATGCATGGTCACCTTAAAAGTTTACCAAGAAACTTGGGAAAAATGTTGTTTCCAGAATTTGATCAACCAAGTCCAGTTCTCTATGTTTAATAGGAGTTCCCAGTTTACCTTAATAGATGGAATCATTAGCAACCAAAAAGCCTTAGAGACTCTTGTTTATCTTTCTTTACAGTAAAGCCATACAGTCTACTTTTGACACCAGCAAGAACGGATATCACATGTGTGATCAACCTTATTAAAAAAAAAGACTAAAATTATCACCTGGTCGTTGATTGGTCACATTGCAGTTTAGATTACTGCTTGTTCAAACACATAATGTATGAAAACGCTCATGTCCCTTTATTAAATTCCTTTAAATTCCTTTAAAGATAAGTGATTCACAGTCACATCCCCTGTATGTAAGTAATGGTGTTAGATACTGACTAGACAACTGTTTTTGCAGAACATAGTGATGTGACCATAGATTGCTGGGGCCAGGAAAATAATTTTCCCAAAGAGAAATGAGAAACTGGGACTGCTACGGATATATTCAGTCCAATTCTGCTCAATAGTAATTTTATTGGAAATGTTATCCCTTTATAAACCACTAATGGTAATAGTAGATGTTACAAGTAGATCCTAATTGTGACCCCTTGGGAAAATCAAATGCCCACTCTTAGACTAGCTGGATGTTGCCACCAACCCTTCTTGTTTTTGAATTCCCATTTTTGAAGCCTCAAGCTGGGTCACCGAACTGTTCTCACCTTAACCTCTTTGAAACCACACATTATAATCTGGTTCTTACTCTGAAACCATCATCATAATTTAAAAGCTGACAGCCTGCTAAAATACAGTTTACACTATCTTTTAGCAGGAGGCAGGTGTAGTTTCATAGAGTAAAAAAAAATAAAATCTTATAAAACAACCAAAGTGTTTTCGTGGAGATATGAATGTGACAGTATAGCTATGGAAGGGACAGGAAGCAAAATGTGCAAAGGACTGCACTGAGACATTACAAGAATGAAACAAAGCTTTCATTGGTTTTGTGAGGGACAAAAGAGGCAGGTGACGTGTGATTTAATCACATGATTTATAAAACACTGTAAAAACATGTCTGCTATTAGCTGTTCACTGCTTATAGCTAGTTAGCTATAGCTAACTTATCTCTGCAAGTTTTCTATAGTATTGTCTCCCCAAAAAAGCCTCTGCTGTGTTTTGTGAGCTATTTTTTTGTGAGCTTATGTTGTGTTTTTCCTTTTTCTTATGTGTTTTATTCAGCTTTTTTCTATTTGCCATTGTTTTCTTAAGTTGCTATGCATTTGACCTTTCAGGGCTGCTGTACGACTCAGACCTCAGAGGGTTAAACAGCATTACTAAGATTTATCTATAGACTTATGCACAAGAAAACAGCTTTGAGTTCATGGTTTTAGTTTTCAAACATAACTTTGGTAGTCAAGTCACCACTGCTACACTGTCTTTATCAGAAATATATCAAAGGAGTTCATTTTAACAAAGAATTGTTGCTATTTAAATAATGCTTGGCATGACCTACTTTTCATTCCTACCAAACCTTCCTTGCCTTTAATCTTACATCCACATATTGACATCCCATCCAGCAGACACCGAGGTTGGGGGAATAAGGTCACAGTAGACTGACTAGCACAAAGCCACATGAGGAACAGAGTTCAATGCGAGTTACCTAACTGGCATAGCAAGAAAAAAAGAAAAAGCAACAAGGAAGAACAGTGGGGGCGTTTGAAAGATTTACTCACGATATTCTACAGTCGTGGTTTGGAAGGCCGCCACACAGTGTGGAGAGGAAGAAGAGGAGACAAAAATGAAAGAGAAGTTAGCAATAGGGCCAGCCAAATACTCCACATACCCAAATTTTGGAGTGAGATTTATGTTCCAGTTCTCATTTTCAGGAGACACAAAATGGAAGAATCCTACCTATAAATAAGTGAGCAGGGACTGGGATTCAAATATGACATGCACATTGAATAAAGTGAGGAAGAGGAGATGATGACTGATGAAATATGTACATGTATGTACATCTAAAGTGTACCAAAATATCTCACCAGTTGGTTCTCAAGGACTGGCTATAACCAAACACTTAGTTTAATGTGTAGTCAATAATGTGTAGTCAATTAAACTGTGATATATCCATCATTCAGCCTGCCATTTAAATCAAAAGCGAGAGTCAGACCCATATATCAGTTTGACTCTAATACGGACACAGGCAGTCGGAAACAGATCGGGAAAGGAAGGTGAGACATATGGATAGCAAAGAGGGAGTGTGGGAGAGAAGAAGGGAAAAAAAAGATCATGGTGGGTGCGCTTTGTCTGTTTGAGAGTCATAATTATAAGGTCAGGGTGATAGGTGATAATTAACCTGTCAGCGAGACTGGAACGGAGCTGTGTGTGTGCGTGTATGTGTGTCTTGGTTAAGGCACGTACACGATCTAGACCAACACATTTCCAGCTTTCTAAATGTGTTGATTTCAAAGACTCTTGGCTGCTAAGTTTAGAGGAACAAGTACTATGCACAACACTGGAAACAGGTGCGTTCCATTCAGCTGGTATCATTGTTTACTGGGACACTTGTTGGACCATGTTGTTAAAATTACTAAACTGTGCTTCTACCAGTACAGATCTAAAACATCCAGTTTTTCTATGGGCAACTGCTTATTTCTAAAAAAAATGTCAAAGTGGCTTCCTATATTAATAAAACCAACGAGCAGAAATGTGTGAAAGCTCATTAAGACTTTGTATTAGAATGTTACATTTGTCTCTTGGAAGGAAAAGACTGGGGCCGTATCCTGCCAACATGGCAGCGAGATGCTGTGATGCACAGAGTGGGAGTGAAGGTGGATTTCCATGCCATACTCACGCCTGCATGGTGGTGGTGGCTGTCTGAAAGCTGAACATATTCTCTTTGGGGAACCAGCTGTTAGGATTGTCCTCTGCAAACACAAATAAGAAAAGGAAGGTGTGTGTCAGTGAGCATTACATTCAAACACAGGCCTTACAAATAGCAGTGGTGTGAATAAAAACATGGTGAGAATGTGTTTAAATTCAGGCTCAGTTTGTTTATTTGTTTAAACCTTCACATTTAGTTTTATACCCCTGTCATCTGTAGATGCTCTGTCCTCGCTGTACATTCTCTCCAGTTTTTTGCGTTGCTTCCCTCCATCTCGGGGTGAGGTATCTAGGTCCAGGGAGCGCTGACTTTGGCATGGAGCCCGAATGCAGGCAACGCAGTCTGGGGTGTAGTCATCCCGCGACCCACCTCTCCTCATTCCCCAATCACGAATGTTGCCAGCGCTACCTGAGCTCTGCAGCGGCTGCGATGATGACGTTGGGCCTCCGTGATGCTGCTGGGCATGATGTTGGTTACTGCGGTGATGGCTGCTACGGTGATGGCTGCCACGGGCAGCTGAGGCGATTGGTTGGCTGGTGCAGGATAGGCCATGACTGGCAGCAGAAGTGCTCTGTGAGAGAGGCTGCTCCCGGGAGCCCTTCAGCACCTCCAACTCCAGGCTCTCCTCACTGCCACGGCCCCCGAGGGTCATCCCGCCTTCCCTGGTGATTGTGTACACCCTGGCTGGCTTCACAGCAACAGGCCCCTGTGAACCCCTGGCAGCAGGTGGGTCCTCTATGGAAAGACTGCGTTCGGCAGAGAGTCGCCGTTTGGAGGGGCCAAGTGATGCTTGAACCTGGAGAGTGTTGACTTGAGATTGAGACTGTGGGTTAGTGCTGGGATTAGACTGGCTGGACTGGGCGGGTTTAGCTATGGATAAACAACGGCTCTGTGGTGGCAGATTGTTGTTATGCAAGTGACTGACGTCTGGAGAGTCCTGGCCAGAGAAAGTTTCAGACAGTAGATGATCTGGGGATAAAGAGAAAGGGGATGAAGCAAAATTAACAAGAAAACATAGCAAGTGAGAGATAAATCATGCTGTCTGTTTTCTATATAGCTTTCATAAACGGACATCAGATAAATGCTTTCTATGTAAATAGAGTTAACAGGGAGCTTGCTTGTGTCTCTTTGGGATTTGTAGCTCTGGCAGCAGAGTGGTAAACATTTACTAGCTGCAAAGCTTTTGTGAGCACATGAGGAAAATAGAGAGGTGGCATAATGATGGAAAAAAACAAATAGCGGAAAGATGAAAGATTCAGAAATGGATGAGCACAGTACAGTCCAAGAAGCCCAGTTGTCCTGTAGGATCATGAAGGATGAATAGTTCTTCTCACTGTATAAATGGTTGCAATGCTGCAGGCTTGAAAGCAAGTGTAATCTGATGGGACTTGCTAGTTTTTCATTTTGTGTGTCCTGTGGATAAATAAGTATGGGTATAGTGATAATTTTCCGATGCCTTTAATTTAGTTTTATCTCCTTATAAAGATGTTCGTTTTTTAACAAATCTTTTTAATAATCATTGTCTTTCTATTTTAGACAATGTTTGTCCTGTCTAAACAAGACTAGCTCCGGTTTCAAAGTCATCTCCCTGGATAAATGACACCATTCGCCTCTCAAAGCGTTGCCGCCGTAAGGTTGAGCGTTTATGGAGGAAAACACGTTTGCATGTCCATCTCCTTCATTTAAAGGACCTTTTAGTCCCTTTTAACACTTCACTTCGAGATGCGAGGGCTGCCTATTTCTCAGACTTAGTGTCTAAGAGCAGAGGTAACCTTCTATCTATGGTACTATTCAACACCATTAGTGATATTGTTACTCCTGCTCCACCTGCTGTCCCAAATTCATCAAATGAAGATTGTGAAAAATTTCTTTCTTTCTTCGTTGAAAATGTCAGTAACGTGAGGAACAATATCTCTCCTTCTGTGTCTCTCTTATCTGCTCCAACTCAAGCTAGGCCTGTAATTTTAGGAAGATTTTTACCTGTGTCCTTACCAGAGCTGTTCAAGTTAGTTAATTCGATGAAAGCGTCCTCCTGCTCTCTGGATATTTTACCTGGATCTTTATTTAAAAATGTCTTTTGGTCTATTGGTCCCTGTGTGCTCACAATTATCAATACCTCACTGGTTTCTGGTCAGGTCCCTGTTTATTGTAAGAATGCTGTCATTCACCCACTGTTAAAAAAACCTAAGCTTGATGCTTCTCTTCTTAGTAGCTACAGACCGATTTCAAAATTACCGTTCATTGCTAAGATTTTAGAAAAGCTTATAGCTGTTCTAGAATACAGCATTCTGGATAAATTCCAATCTGGCTTTCGTAGAGCTCACTCTACTGAAACTACACTTCTTAGAGTCTCCAACGACATTTTGATGAGATGTGATGCAGGAGAATGCTCCGTTCTGTTGATGTTGGACCTGACCTCCGCCTTTGATAATGTGGACCATCATATTCTGCTAGATAGGCTGAGACACTGGGTGGGTATATCAGGGGCTGCTTTGGACTGGTTTGAATCCTATTTGCATGAACGATCCTTTTCTGTGGCTACCT